AGAATTCTCCAAGAGAGTTTGTGGAGCTGTAAAAATTCAGCACTTTTGGAAAAGCCATGTTTTTTTAGGTGCCAATTTGAGCAGAATAGTTTCATACTGAAATTTTTGATTGTGACCATGGACAAGTTTCTCCCTGCCTTTTCTTAATGGGATGCAAAGCAGAGAGACAGCATGCTCCAGGACAGGGAGTTTTTAATTTGCTTTGTGGACAACTCTCCCTTCCACCACAAACACCAGGAATACAAGAGTGACAGTTACTGCCATACTAGCATGAAAGTAGAGCTAGGTAAAGGTTGGCCATCAGTTTTCCTTGAAATCTCCTTTTCTCTTGCTTGAGTCTCTGTGATGATCCGTAGGAAGATTACCATGCCTTCCTTTTGAAAATCATCAAGCAGCCACACAGAGCCGAAGAGTGAAAACATTCCTGAGTCTTCTGGAAAAGACAGACCTGCTAATAAAGTAGCAGAAACTGATAGACCATAGCAACCTGTGCTAGTGATGAGTAAAGAACACAGCTAAAGGGCTAGGAAGGGCATTACTGATGAAGAGAAGGTTCCTTGCCAAGGGAAATTATACACTGCAGGCACCTCAAATAGAGTTTCTTCCCCCCATAGTAAAATGAGATTTGTTTCTTGTTACTCTGCTAAAAGACAACAGTCAAGTCTGATTCCAAACCCCAGACCCAAGAGCCTGAGATTGCAGGTGATCCTTAAAATTTTAAAAGATACTTGATTCAAGTCTACTTCATGCCTAAATAATAGTTTGAACCTTTATTTAATATTTAACTAGAATAGCCTAACATTTTCCAAGCCTCATTGGGTATCCAGTGACTAAACTGTACAATAAAATTGAATGAAAAGTGTTAAAGAGGTAGAACTCAGGCTGTATTTGTTCCTCCTCGTTTGCTTTTGTGTGTTACTTGGATTTACCTGTAACAACACCACATAAAACGCTGGTGCATGTTCAGCAGTGCCTCTGGAATAAAAAAAGATGATGATAGGAGATCTCGCTACAGCTTCTGCTATTAAGTCTTTGGGAGAGCTGAGAAGAGATTGCTCATTAAATAACTGTTATAAAGCATTCAGCACTGACAGACTAGTTCAGAAGTAGAAAGTCGAAGGTCAACTGTTCCCACTAGAAAAGTATCCATTGCAGCCAAGTCGTTATTATTGCCTACTGTCACAGTGCCCTTCCCAGAAATGGGGGAGAGGTCTTGGAGAAGTTACAGAAACTAAAATAACAGTGATTAATCAGGACAGCAGTACATCAAGGAGTCAGGATGGCAAGGTAATCCAGAGAGAAGTGCTGTGCCACAGAGAGGAAAGTATCTGGAAGCTGCTTCTACTGTATCCTTGTGCCATTCACTAATGAGCATACATATGTGGACTGAGGAAAAAAAGCAGGCTTTGGGTCTGTGTCAACTGATGAAACAGTTCATAGAAAAAATGAGAGTAATTTTTAATTGCTTCTTGAAGGTAACAAAAAAACCAATCACTTCCTACATTTTCATCTGTACTTAAGAGTATCTAACGTGCTCTACATCAGAGCACACTGTAAATATTTCTGAAAAGCAGAATCTGACTCATAAATTATTGGCATTCTGTGCCAGACAAGCTTCTGCTAATGTTTAAAGAAGCAGATCACCTGGGAGAAATGTGTTCTACACGTTGCAGGAGAAAATAAAGAGACAATTAATGGGCATTGGCTGTGCAGCCCATATTGTTCCCATGTTGTTCAGGCCAAAGTTGACTGCTTGCCAATAGATACAGAAGTAATTGTCAACAAGATTTACAGTTACTTTTTCATTTGCACAGTTAAAGTAGAAAGGTTGAAAGAGTTATGTGATTTGTTGAAGGTCTGTGCTAACAACTGATAGACCATAGCATCCTGCACCAGTGGTCGGTAAAAAACACAGAACATAGGCTTCACATTTTTCTTGATTCTGTAAGCCATTCTTCACAGCAGAAAGCTGAACTGCCTTCCTATCGTCAGCAACTGTTTTTTATTTTACACATCCACTCATAAAGCCATCCTTCCTGTTGCCAAACTAGGCACCAGGAAAGTTCTAATCCTACCAGTGATGGAAAAATGAGTATTTTTTAGCAAGTTGCACTTTAGTGTAATGAAATTAAGGACATGGTATTTCAGCTAGCAGCTCCTGAATTCGTCGCTCTTGTCGCTCTTGAAGAAGCTTCTGCTGCTTCTTCAGTTCAGGTTCTTATCTCTGGCTCTCTGCCACTGTTTCTCTGGTCAGTGTCGGCTGCTGCTCTGTGCCCATGGAGAAAACATCTCCCGGCATAACTACAGGCACCTAGCCCAGCTTTATGCTGTTCCAGGTCCCTGCAGCCCCCCAGCCAGGGGCTGGGAGGGGGCCAGAGGCCCCAAGGGGCTCAGAGCCCCTACCTCGTGGCTCTACAACATGGCCACCTCTCCTACAACCAAACTACAACCCTTCTTTTCCGGTCTGGTTGTGGTATGTTTACATTTCTGCAGGAGCGCCCATTGGGCAGAACTTCAAAACTTCCAGGGGTTTCCACCCCTTGGGGTCTACCACTTCTCTTAGCTTCTGGGGAGAACAAGGTTCAAACCACTACAATGTAAACGTGAACTGTGTTATTTAATTACATGTGTCAGACTGCAGTCCGAGGACAAGTATCTCCACTCTGCAAAAATATAAAACGGGAAAGTAAACACCCTCTGAATGTCCAGGAAGTTGATTAAAATAATCACGTAATGGCAGAAGGTTAGAAGGATCTTTGCAGGAAGCCCTGTCAATAATAGTAAATGGGTATGACTGTATTTGTCATTCAAAGACAGAAAAAAGAAGATACAAAATTACTCTGAAGGTATAACCTGTTCCAGAAATCCCGTGATTTTCTTCCAGGCTGCAAAATGGATCAACAACAATTCCACATTGGTGGAGACCCAGGCAGTCAATCTGCGGATGTGTCCAGGAGGTACTGGATTGAAGAAGGTTTCACAAGGTCTTCTCTTTGGTGGCTTTCTGGAATATCTCCAGAGCCTCGAGTAAATTCCCTCCTGCATTAGTATATGGAAGGCAATGAGATGCATCATACCATCAAGGTCAAGGACGTCCATTACTAGACTACCTTTTGCAAAAATGATTGTGCCTCTCTACTGGCTCCTTCACACCTCCTCCTGGTTGGCCCCACAGCCCTCTCCTCTTGGCAAATCCTTCCACTGGGGCTCACAGGAAGGGCAGAGGCAGTGCTTCTGCTTTCCTTATTCCCAGCTAACACAGCATCCAACAAGCTTTGACTGGTTTGTAGCTGCATCCCACTGGCCAGTGTTTGCTTTGTGCTCTGACAGTCTAAACTATGACACAAGTGGCTCTTTCAGCCTTTTTTGAATGGGGTCTCCAGTTCCTGAAGGAGAGTGCACTTTGTAAATGAGATCCTGAAACAGTTTGGTGCTATCCGCACAGGTTTGTGAAAACATTTCATAAGCCATCTCAGCTGGAAGTAGGCTTATTTTTGTCCTCTAGCAGAGGTGAAGTTCTTTGTCAAGGCCAGTGTAAGCAGGGCTTAAGCTCAGCAGAAATTAGTTGGACTAATTAAGAGACAACTCTCAGTTTGTAGGATGAATCCATTAGGATTTGTATTTCCCACCAGCATTTAAGACTGTGGCAAATGTTATTCATTAGAGTAATTGCTGCGTGATTGTCACAGACATACTGCAGGCCAGAATCAATAGCCTGCAGTTACTAAGCAGTGCCAGACTCAGAAATTATGGCAAATTTGATGTATCAAATTAAGGGCAATAAGTGATGATGATGCTGAACAAACATGATAATGGATTTGGAGATATTTGAAGACAATTTTTGGTCTTCCACCCCATGGAGAGGAAATGTGAAATATCTAATATAACCTCACACATTATTTTGACTAGTCATGAGGCTAAGGGATCTAGGGCTGGGATCTTATGGTTTATAACAAAATAAATCCTGAACTTCAAGCGGCTTTTTATCATCCTTGCATTTTACAGTGCACTTTATTAAAATGAGTAACAGAGGAAAGAGTAGTTCAAGCTTCAGGTAAAAAAATCAGAACATAGAACTCCTAGGTTAGAAAATAATCAAGTTAACTCTGAATTCTTGAGTGAAGCCTGACCAGTTCTTCCTCCAAAATTACCACCGTCATGAGGTATGAGGGACAAAAGTCAGAAGGAGAAACTACATTTCTACTCCACTATAGAGAAAGCTTTCCCTCTAGCAATGCAAACATCAATTCTTAGTTCAAATCATCAGCACCAATGCTCCATGACTCCATCCCATCCACCCTGCAGAATCTTCCAACAAGAGTACCCCCTAACTTCCCTCTTAAAGGAAATTTTCCTAGAGATGGCTTCTTGGAAACTATGAAATGTGTTACTTCTCAATCAGTAATCTGTATGCTAAATCTGCACAATTGGCACACATTAGCACACATTACCCCTACTCACTAATACTTCCTCACCATTCTACTTTCATTTTCCACACCACACAGTGATCACAGAGATTGACAATAGATAACATGAGACCTTCAGGCTGCCATTAACTCAAAGGTGGGTAACACTCTCTCCAGCAAGAACCCACTACGGCCAAATGATTGGGAAATAACTTTCCCAGAACAACTGTCTACTCTTCTACACAGAAAAAAAAAAAGGGGGGGGGGGGGAAACCAACTAAGAATGTTAAGAGGTTTAGAAAACATGACCTATGCGGAAAAAGCTGAAGGAACTGGGTTTGTTTAGTCTAGAAAAGAGGAGACTGAAGGGGCACATGATAACAGTCTTCCAGTATGAAAAAGCCTATTGGAGACAGAGATGATGAACTATTCTCTGTGGCCACAACAGAAGAAAGAATGAAAAATTAATTTGCAGTAAAGAAGACTTCAGAGCAATGAAGGGAAAGAGGGAAAGAATTATCAGTCTGTGACGTCAGAGTGAGCAGTGGACCAGAGCTTCAACCTATTGGGGAAGACAGTGCAGATTTTTAAGAAGAAACTAGACATATGTGGCTATCATGAAATCCTGCTGTGGTATGGGAGGTGGGACACTTTATGACTGAGCTTTGATACAAATCAGCCTCACACTGAAGCCAGCAGGTTTCTCTGTCAAATCAAAACTTCAAAATCAAAACAGAAGGTTGCAAATCAGATCACAATCAGATGCAGTTAGAACTAAATTTTTGTTCCTAACCCTGACTAAGTACAGAATATTCATTAAAAGAAGCAGGAATTGAACATGGTTTATCTTCTAAAGATAGATCATGTTGTGTGACAACATAGAGAGAAGTCTCCTGACTGAGAAAATACAATTCGTTGGTAAGAAAATACAATTCCTTGGCAGCAGCAGATCTAAAAAGACTGTAAGGCTGGTTACAGTGCTGTAAATCCAAGGTTAACACAGAAGAAATCAGTAGATTTATAACAGCATAATTGTGATCAGCATAGAAGCCATTGTATTTTTGCTTGGGAAACGGTGGTTAACCATTCAGCAAAGGCTCTGTTTTCTCCCCTAAAGCCTCTCACGTGATTCTGTGACACATTGCTGGCTTTTTCCATGTTCAGACTTCCTTTTTTTTCACTTGGAGATTTCAGTCAAGCTTTATGATTTCAGGAAAAAGATCATGACAGTAAACCATGCATGTGGTTGTTCAAGTGTTTTCTCTCTCAAGCCCACTTGCAAAAGTGATGGCTTGCCAAAAAAACCTAGCAGTGCCAGTATACCTAAAGCAAGCCTGGAGAACCTGGAAAGGAGGTAAATATGCTGACTACTCACTCATCTGTATTATACTACACATGTTCCTAAGTTATGGATGCCTCCAGACGTGTTTTAACCTGTCTGCTGAATTAGTTCTGTAGAGCATGTCTAATTGGCTGTTCTTTGAACACTGCATGGACACCCTCTTTAAAAAGACCCTTTTCAACGCATCTGTAGTGTGTACCATAAAGAATTGCCATTCCCTTGAATACACCTGCAATATGAATAAATGCAAGAGGCAGAAATGCTTGGGCACATGATTCTATGATTCAAAACAAAAAGGATTCTGATTTCTCGACTCCTAAAATGGCTTTATGCTCCCCTACCCTCAGCCATTCTCCAAAGGAAAGAGTTAATGGACTTAGGACAACACTTGTGAAAAGGCTGTTGAAGACAGGACTCTAGACCCCACAATCTGCAATTGGATTAACCCTGGATCATATTCCTCCATTAGCCTTAGACAATGGTTACCTCAAGTTGCGTTGTTACCACATCTAAGTAAATGTGGACTTGTTCCATCCTGCCTTTCCCTTTGTTCTATTCCAAGAGCTCAGCTGAATGAGCTACTTGCTTTATGGATAAGAAGCCATTTGTTTTGGTTGTCTATGATCTTCCTCCTCTTCACCAAAACAAACAATCAAGACCTTCTTTCAGTGTAACTCTGGATAGTTATGAAAAATTTCCAAGTCCTTCTTCTATCAACAGCATGCTGCATCTGGAGGTTTCTACATAGATAAACCTAAACAAGCAGAACCCACTTGCCACCAGCCCAGCTGGGGCAAGTTTCCCACACATTCAATTGCTGCTTATCCTGAAGTCATAATACTTTAGGGAAGCAGAAGCTGCAGCATACCATAGGCCCTAGTTCAGATACAAGTATATGTATGACCTAGAAACTCAGACAAGGGTCTTGAAAATTTAAAACTATCGATTTGATATGGTCTGAAGCTGGCTCCCTGCCAAGTCTCCAAACCTCACCACAAGAAGTCGTCCCCCCCCAAAACCAAGGGAGAAGAGAAAAAAAAAACAAGAGAACTGAAACGAGAGAAAGGCAGCTAAAGCAATATATATAAATATATTTACACTTATATTACAGTTATATACAATTGAAAATACATATACAATTTCAAAAGGAAAAGGGATAGGGAAGGGGGAAGGGAAAAAATGAACAAAACCAAAATAAAATATACACGATCAATAGCCCAAGATCTAGCAACTAAAAGAATTAGCAAAAGAATATCTTACTACTCTCCTTGGGACAACAGAAAGTTGCACTTGAACGACCGCCGGCAACCTCCATCTCCCAAGGTCAGCAAGACCTTACCAGGCCTCACTCCCCAACACGACAGACTCAACAGCAGGAAACCTGCACCTCCAAAGCCGCCGGAAGAAAAGAGGGCGAAGACCTTTCCTCCTTTCTTCTTATACCCTGGCTTACATAAAAATCATAGGGAATACTGGGTAAATCTGGGCACTTCCTTGGTTACAAACTGGTCACCAAGGAAGGCCTGGACTAAACTACCACATAACTGCATTGATTTTTTTTGATAATTTTTCTCTACTTTTTAAATATAAAATAGTGTACTTCAATAGTGTACACATGGCCAGTGTAAACTGAATATGTAACCTTCAAAACATGCAACAAGTGGGATTTCCAGCTGTACTTAGGGCCCAATTCATCATGTTCTCACTGAAGTCATGGGAGTTATCTCATCCATTTCGACAGGCTAGAGGTAACAGTAGTTAAAATAAGAGTTTTGGAAAATAACATAGAATGGTAATTTGATTGCTTGGAAAGTAACTTCCCTTACCTGCTCAATAGGGATTCAATACCTGCTATTTTTTCCCTTCCAGTCCTCTCTTCCTGCTCTTAGTTTGTCCTTCTTTTACCTTTCTACCTCCTTGCCAGTCATTTTACTGTTGCACTTACCCACAGGAGACTCCCAAATTCCCCCCATAAATCACAGAGGAATTCAGATACAAGAACAAAACAAGGGAAGCATAACTTGCACAGAGATGCTAATAGCAGTTTACATGTCAACAGGAATGTTGAAACTGTGTTTGGGAGGAGACTCGGTAATGCATTAACTCTACTGGTGGGCTATGCATCAAGTTTTTAATCATACTTTAATTTTACATTTATTATTTTAATCACACTAAATCAGAGAGATTTAATCTTTTAGTTCCAAAGGAGATATTCAGTAATTAAAAATATTGATATTTTTCATACACATAAATATATAAGTATGACCTACTACTACGTAGCTTCTTAATCATCAAGAAATGTACTTCATGTGTCACCACTAATCCATCACATAATGGTAGCTGTGGTGAAAAAATAACCAGAGGAAAGAAAGAGATGAAAAATTTGATGTGCTTTGCATACACACTAGCGAACAGTACTTGAAAGTTAGCTAATTTCTTTTCAGATTCATTACATTCAGATCCAATTAGTTTGCAAGGTGCGTGGCTTTTGCAAAGAGGCAGAGCTCTCTGGAGATGTTATAAAAAATAATTTATTTGCAAAGGGTTGAGGTAATGTGTGGACCAGCACATGAAGTTTCACACTTGTATAGGAAAGAGTAAAAACATGGGATTTCCAATCATAGATGCTATGATCATTCCCAGATGGCACCAGTGATACCAAACAAGGAACTGATTGCTCTTCCATATATTGGGGAAAAAAAAAAAAACATAAGGTGTGTGTAGAATGAATATCAAATTAATCTCAAAATTCTCCATGTGTTTGTGCAGTCAGATACATACTCTTTCTGGACACACTGAAGCATATATTGGGAAAAGATTGGCAGGAAGGGATTTCTTCTAATTATGAAGTTTCACCTTAAACAAATCACAACCAAATCTGTGGAAGTGTTAATAAAAAAGTAGGTATGCTCTAAGCATATGAAAATTTGAATGTACATTCAACATGGTCTATTCTGGAAGGACCAAGAGGAGAAAAATACTTTTAAGTTACTTAAAATATTTCAAGTAGTTTTGTCAGGAAAACACCCTTGTGCCTCTCAGCCTTGCTGAGGTGAAGGCATCATGTAGCAAACCTGGTGCAGCTCAGACAATTTTTAGACAAGCAATAAATGTACTGAACAACTGAACTTTGGAAAGAGCATTAACTTTGGAGTTTTAATTGGGAAAGATTTTTTTGGCTGGGATTAAAAAATGAAGAATTCTTTTTTATGTTGAAGTTTTTCATTTAGCAAAAGCAATACTTGTTTTGGGAAATGTTGAAACATCATTTTTGAATATTCTCTAACAAAGACTCATCAAGCCTTGGTTTTGAACTGGTGTTTCTCTTATTAAAAATTAACTTGTAAGTCTGCGTGGGTGACAAAATGGTGTGGAGGTGAAGACCACTTGGCTCACATTCACCAGGAAAAGATACAGCCAGGGAGCCATAAGTTGAGTTCTGCCCCCTAAAGGAAAAAATTTGCTCATTTTTGCCAAAGAGCTCTACAAAGCCCTTCTATTTGTATGCACACACAACCCAAGCTCCAGCCTGGATTCCAAAGGCTCCTTCATTTTTAAAAAGTCTCAAAAGTGTGTTAAAAGCTTAACAAAGATGACAAATGTTACCTTTAAGGTTTTACAGGCCTTAAGCACACAATTTGCTACACAGAAATGGGCCTTTCTATGCTTGTCAGAAGTAGTTTTCACTTATATAGTATTATGTATAAAAGTGGCTTCAATATCATTATACCTACTGGTGAATGTGGGTAAAATTCTTTATCTCCAATACTGCAGAAATTCATACCAATTTATCATAATTGATTTTTTGATATCTGTGAATTTCTGATATTTTCCCAGCCATTCCATTTCAGCTATTTCACCAAATTGTTCTTCATACACCTTTTTACTATGCATAAAAGCAGGTAAGAGTAGTCCTGGAGAATGCCACAAAGGCACTTATAAGGATCACATTACCAGGTCAGGTCCCAATCCTGTAGTCTCCTTGTACCCGCACGAGAGCTCCATGGATTTCAGCAGCATTTCTCAGTCTGTCAATGTCCTCCAGTGTTCCTCAAACTACAGGACCAGCATCTTGGTCAGAGGAGAGGGTCACAAGCTTTTAACGGATCTGCACTAAAATTTTTGTCATACTTTTTAGGTCTCCAATGCAAGTGCAGTTAAATAAGCCATGGACTGCAGGCACTGAACATTTCACTTAGCTATCCAGGGGTGAATACTACCATTTATTTGGGGACTTGTCAAAGTATTATTTTCATTACACTAATAAATACTGTAAAAGTCAAAATAAAAAATGTTATAAGTTCTGGAACATGTCTTATCTAAATCTATATGATCTGGAAATATTTAGCAAGGGAGTTCAGTAATACAAAACAGAAACAGAAAGAGTCCTGGGTAAAGCCTTAGGGAAATGCCAAACTATTAATTACACATTAAGTGAATGGTTTTTATTTTTGTATTAAAGCAGCAACGATTCAAAGTCTATGCTACAGTGCAACAAAAATTATTCTCTGGTATAACCTTTTGCAGAAGTCCAAGCTATTTTGATCCCTAGAGTCAAAGTGCTTTAAAATATGAAATAAAATTGTGTTGGGATTTTTCTAAATTAGGAAATAGGAGAAAAATTCTGACCCATTAGCACAGAACTTGGCAAACACTAATGATAAATCAAAGCTACACTCTGCAAATATTCTCCCAAGTTTAACTGTATACTTGCAATTTATTTTTCTCACCTAAATTATTTTCCCAACTTGAATTTAACTTTGGTAAATATCACCAATACTGCTAACAGTTCTGATGAAGTCAAAAGAACTGTCCCCATGTGTAAAATGAGTGTTTGCTCAATCAAGCCCAACAGCTGTTACATGTTGTTGCTTGCACTGCTGGCCATCCCTGTAAATTAATAATAAATAATGAAAATTATCTAAAAAAGGATCCTAAAATACTGCAATTCCCAAGGGAACATGCCTTCCCAAGGCATTGCCATAAGCTATTTCACACTCTGTACAACCCTGGGAATCTTGCTTTTGTGTGCAAACCCCCCTTCAATACCCAAGTCCTTCTGTATACTCTTGTGTTTACAGAAAGGCACAAGCTGCATCATCAAAATGCAGACACTTCCAGGATGGAGAAGAGACCCTAATCAGAGTATGGATGCTCCTTTGCTCTGGTGAAAAGGCTACATTTTAGTCAGGACATGAAGGTAAATCCTCCCCTAATATGTAAAGCACCATGGGATCTTTAATGTCTAGGCCGAGCAGACATGACCTCAGTTTTCTAAGGTTTCCTTAATTCCTCAACTCCCACCTGTGAAAGGTCACAGAGCAGTTACAGTGTAATTGAATTTGTGCTTTGCTTTGGATTTTTGGGAGAACTGTTTTGGGTTTCAGCATGTTTTGGTTTTTTTTTTCATTTGACCAACCTGTCTCCTCCCCAAATTTTTCTGGTCCTCAGAACCATTAAGGCAGTTTCTTTGAGTGTCTTGGATGTAGGGTCAGGGAGGAATGGTAATCTGGAATCTGAAACCAGAGAGAACACATCATACTATGAACCTGTGCTCATGTACGTCCTTTTCAGCCTTCAACGGCTGAAAGCTGTTGCAGAACTACAATAAGTAAGCATGGATAATTTGGATAGTATAAAGAGGAACTGGAGAAGTCAGTGCTCAAGTTAGTCACAAAAATCAAGTGAAAATGAAGATATAAATCTCTCTTTAACAAAAAAACTTTCTCCACTAACTACAGTCCTTCAGGTATCCTGCTATGCATGAAACCCTGCATGTTAAACTCACCACCCAGCACTGAAGGAAACTCAGGAGCCCCTGAAATACCAAGAAAGTGAAGGAGAACTGGGGAGAAATTTATAAAATAAATCCTCAAAGATTCTTGTTTAGTGGAGACCCTTCTTCTTCTTATGAGGGCTCCCATTCACAAAAGAGGTACCTCTCTCAATAGTGATTTCTGCCAGCTGTTACAAGTGAGCAACTGCCTTCCTGTAGGTGTGATTAGTAACCTACCTAAGCACATGGGACTTTTAGCACTGTCCACAGACTGCTCCACAGAAGATGTCTAAGATTTGCAAAGGTGTATGATATGTATATGACTACAAATTAATAAACCTTGCTTTTCAAAGGACTGCAATTTTCAGGACAAACCAATGATCCCTTCCCAGTTGTATCTTGAGATCCATAAAACTGCTGCACGTGAAAGAACTGGAAAATTAGTCCTGCTTAGCAGAGAATGCACAGTAATTCATTGACTTGGACTTGGATGCAAGCTACATTGACTTCAATGCCCTGCAAGTCTTCCATCAGAAATTAACAAACTGGTGATGAACACTCCTTCCAAACACACATTCTTACTTTTTTGTGTGTGAGAGCATTCTTCTTTGTGGTCTCCCAGGGAACCGGAGAGAGGATTTACATTATCCAGTCTCAGATAGTCCTCCTTCCCCACAAGGATATTATCCACTTGACTCACTAGTTAAGGTCAACATAACCTTGAAGAAGTTATCACAGTAAAGCCACATATATTTGTCTACAGCAGGAGGAATAGCCCAAAACTCTGCAAAAGCAGGGGTTTGCTCTGAGGAAGCTCACAGACCTGAATCAGGTGAGATCTCACAATGTGTCAGAGCCAATTTATACCCAGAGCTGATCTGTGTCCACTGACACAGAGGGCTACCAAGAAAAAATAGGGTGGAAGTCATTGCATAATGGTAGAAGGGAGGGAACGTCCATAGTAGTTTACTCTTCCAGTTTAAAAAGTCAAAATAAGCTTGCCAAAAGATGTTTTATCTTTTTGCACTCTGTCTTATGTTGACTTTTCTCCGAATACCTCCTCCCCCGAGTTCCACTGGTTACATCCTCTTCTTATTGCTCTAAAGTCATAAAATTATGAAAATACCTTCGTTTCACCTATTGACCACTCTTAGATCTCCTAGTCCATAGCTCCTTTAATGAAGTCCTCAGGCAGCATTTCCCTGTATCCTTATCTGAGTTTGGTAATAAAGCATCTCTTAAGCTGACATCCTTTTACAATATATGAACTAGAGCTGGGCAAGCTTTTCATGGCAAATGTTTTATTTAGTGGATTAAACCTTTTGTTCTCTTTCTGAATTATTATGGAGAAACTTCGACTTTAATTCATCTGGTTGTTATTCACAATTGTTCAAATAACTGTGTCAGTGAACATATTTCAGCTGTTTAGATTGTTCTCAAATTATTCACTTCAGTTCTTTCTTTTGCGATTTGTTATGTGCTATTTACTATTCAAGGGCTGTATTTGGTTTTACCTACCCCACATGGTGACAATATTAACTGATCCTTACATCACTGGAAAGTTTATGGAGAGGAGCAAAATCAAAGAGATTTCATATTGCCCTCTTTTCCTACTGTGGTCTGTTCACAATACATATTTCTTGCAAAATTTTATACAAATATATAATAAGTATCTGTGAGGAGGCCTATTTTCCATTAACAGCCTTTCAGTAAAAGTAATCAGGTATCTCCATATTAATGGAAATCATTAAAAGGTCTGAGAATACCATCTAACTGAACTGACAGCTTCAGTCAAATACCCAAAATTCCACCTAGAAGTAACAAGGCAATGGAATACCAGACTTCATTTGTTCTGTACCTCGCTAAACTCCTTCTTTTGTTGAAATGAGCATTTCTAAATATTTTTGTACAATATTCACCTGACTTCAATGTGATCTAAGTAGCATACATATGTTCAGATTATCCAGTTGAACTGCAGAAATACACAGTATGTTTCTGTAAGTATAAATCCACAGATAGAATACATCTCGATAAATCTATTTAAAATTATTTTGATTTTTATTCTTCATAAAATAATACATCCAGCCTATAATAACTGATTGTGCATTTCATTTTTCCTTTAAATAGATTCCAATAAACTGCAAAATTTTTATCTAAACCTAGTTTTTAGGTGCAGCAAAATTAGAATGTACCAGTTCAGGATTCAGTTCTAGTCTGTATTATGGGCCTTATTGTTCTGAAAATACAGTTTATGCAATGATTACTTCTACACATGAAGAAACAAAAAAAAAGCAACACAAATTTGTCAACAGGAAAATAGGCTAAAAGAACTACAATGGGCCAGATTCCTAGAGCTGCAGGCACTTTTTTGTAGGGAGATTTTAGCTTCTCGGTTCTCACATTTGAACACAATTTTTGGTAAACACTTTCTATGAATCAAAGCTTTTGTTTTGAACGCTAATGAACTGTGATTCAATGAACCCAGTAAAAATACTTCTTCAAAATCCCTTCAGATGCAGCAAATATTTGAACCTGTCTCCTCTATCAGAAGCTTTCACTTACTGTGTTATGTGATCATGTGCTTTCCTTTCAATCTGTTAAAGTTATCAGCCATGAGAGCAATTTCTTCAGATTTCTGCTGAAAAAAAAGGAAGCTTTATTTAACATTTACCGCATTTTTGCAATTTATCACTCTTTCTACCCTAGTATAGTATGAGCTCTTCAATTTGCTTAAGTAAATATTGGCAGCAAATCAAAGAAAGTACTGTAAGTCTATGGAACACAATTTTAAACTAACTATGGAAAGCATGCCAGGGATAGCCGTGATGTGAAATGTGTTAGGCACACTAATTTTCCTATGTGGTATATTCTTCCCTGACTATATGCACACAAAGGAGAAAACATAACCTATGAAATGTTATATTGACTAGTTCCTGCAATGTCTTCAGAAATACTCTATTAATTTTTTTCTGAGGATTATTACAGCACTATTTAGACAGAGCTGGCAACCTGACTAATGACATTTGTTAATCTTAGTATCACATTTCTGTAATATTTTCATTAGTGACATTTTTCTCTTAGATCTATGTTTTCTAGAGCTGTACTATGGCTTTGCATAAGACTTTCTAGTTACCAGGAACTCCAGCAGGGCACCAGAAAATAGTACTATAAAAGACAACTGGTATCCTGTCTGTGAATTTGTCTGGACCTGCATACATCCACCAAAGAATATTTCTACCAAAGGGTGGCTTGCATTATGCTAGGGACAAGCTGTGTTTAATTCAACAGCAATGTGGTCAGGACCCTATTATGCTCCCTGTAGAGTTACTCTGGATTTATACCAGTGTGATTGTGATTAAGATTTAACTGTGACATCTAGCTGTAAAAATTTCTTTCCCTCCCATTTCCAGTGGCTGTAGAGTCCAGTCTTCTCAAACACTTATCTTCTTTTCCATAAACTGAATGTAAACTGCATGCAGGTACTCCAGAGCATATGAACACATTTAACACTCAAGACTTCAGTGTTGTCCTAAAGGAATTGTAACAAATAATGGAAAGCTCATTATTTAAAAAAAGAACAAAACCAAACCAACCAAACAAACAAATAAAAACACTCCCCAAAAAAACACAAACCAAACTAAACCAAACCAAAAAAACCTTTAATAATCCATTATTCACATTTTTCATCACAACTATACTGAAAATACAGCCTTGTTGCAGGTACAGTTTTGCAAATACTGTAATTTTTTTGTCTGGAAACCAATCACATTTCATCATAATTATTGTAAAAATTCTGATTTTATAAAACAACATTTTACATTCATAGGTAAACTTTCCTTTTGCAGTTCAGCTTTCATTGGCTAGCATCAGCTAGTCTATGGATATAGCATGGACATTCATAAAAATAAATAATAGAAGCAAATTTGAAACTACATTAATAACCTGTCTTCATAGTCATAATCAGCTTGGTGCTTGGGTGGCAGGCATAGACAGCTGCTCACACATTGGTCTCCAACAAAAAGTAAATAATTTCAGGTTTTCTACCGGAGGAAACTCCCCTCTCACCTCCCTCCTTCGTTTTTGGATAAATATAACCCGTGGTAGAGTCATTGAGCACTAGTCAAGCCTCACTCCTTCCCCACTTCTTAGTGAAAGTGTTCCCCTTAACAAGATATCTGCCTACCTCAGCCACCCTTGTTCCTTCCATGTCCTTGCCTGCAAGTACAGCAGCTTCTCCTCCCTCTTCTTTGCCCCTCGTCCTTTTGCCAAAACACCAAATGAAAGATCACTGACCTTCATGGGATTGACACAGAGGAGCTGCAGCTACAAATACTTGATTCAGCTAATGATCCAATTCCATTCTTTCCTTCAGTCATGGACTATGTTGCATTTATCTCTTAACCCCAGTCAAGATTCCTACCATACACTGTGCCAGGGACAACTAGAAAGGCCTCAGAGAAGCCTGAGTGAAGAAGACGGATGTCTGTTTTCAGAGTAGACCTAAGTAGGATCCATCAAACAAGTAGCTAGTTATGTCTTACATGTAACCAATAGCTAAAACTTGAATTGTCTACAAATAAAAATACTGTGGAGCTGGACCTTCTCTCAGGTGTATTCTCCAGATAAGTGATAGAAAAAAAAGAGATTCATTAATCCCAAGCCATTGAGACAGACATGAACAGCTGCATAGCTGGACTCTAGTCTTGGGCAACTGTGGTGGTTCTGACAATACAAGAAGCAAGGACTGAATGCCAAAAGCTGCAGTGCCTGAACTGTTGGTGGTGAAATAGAAACCAACCCCTCCCCAGCTAGGCTTCCTACATGTGCAGCTTGAGTCAGAAATCTGAGGAATAGGGCCCAACACCCCCAGCACCAATGGGACATATATCTAGAGCTAGCTAACATGAAACACAGGCAGCAGTAGGGTGTCAGCAGCCTCCTTTCACCCCACAGCTGAAGCTCCTTTCCTTGTTCTGCAGAGCACACTTCTGCTGGTGGTCAACAGCTCCAGAGTCACTCCTGAAGCCCTTCTTTCAGGAATTATGACGTTGAAAAGCTGCTGTACAGTGATCCTACCATCTGTTTTATGCAGAAGCCTACTGGATAGAGCACTTCAGCAGTTCTTTCCTCTGCCTGAAAGGTTCAAGATTCCTGCCCTAACCACAAGACACCTCTCCAGACTCTCAGATGAAAATCAAGCAAACATGGCTGCATGTCCTGCTGGGACACTCACCTGAAAAAAGTAGGACTCATGTTCCCATCTGTGCTCCAAGGCCTACAGAGATGTTTTCCTATCCATTAATTCTTCAATGTGAAAGAACAAAATCACTCTAAATATTCTAGAGATGCACTGGAGAAGTCCCTATGAGCACATCAAGGATAATTCCATTACTGTAACAACTAAAAAGCATTAAATGGTACCCATTGAGTCTTGGTTTCTTTTCTGCACTACAGAAGGAACTTAGACCATGTCTCCAAACAAGAGAGACTAAATCCTTTTCCTGAAATGGGTGGGGAAAATAGTTCTGGATTTTTATTTTATTTTTTTTGAGCGGGGGATGGAACTGAACCTGCATTTTTCACACCTTCAGTAAGGGCATTAATCTCTAAGTTTTGGGAATAGGGGTCATAAAAGAAGATACAATCACAGCCTGTGAAAGAAAGAAGGCTCTGCAGCATTCCTTTCAGGATTTAGTGATGTTGCCCTGAGAGCTGGGCTCTAAGAACATCTAGAAGATCTTTCCCATTTGGAGACATAAATCTAACTGGAGCGTGACCCTCAGCTGCAGACATCCTGATTTGTTTATGTTATTAAGAAATGCTGACATTTAGTTAAACGAAGGTGATGAGCTATGTAATGCTCCCAGTAAGATAATTCATGTCAGTGCTCACAGGCAGCCATTGTGTAAAGACTGGGTGGGTAACTTTACCCAACAACAGGAAAATACATACTACCTCATCCTAGCTACCAGCAAGTGTTTGGGAGACCTGTCTAGTTGCCATGTTTCATAGAATTATCATTGGGATTGCTACTACAGAGACATGTATTATGTTTGCAATTCCCCTTAATCAGAAGAGAGAGATGAGATTAGTTCCATATTACTGTTTATTTTTCTTCCTGCTCCTTTTCTGAGTTATGATTTAGATGAAATTTCAGTAAATCTGTGTTCTTTTTGCCCTGTAGACTTTTTCAGACTACTTGCAAAGCCACAGAAGTCAGGAAGAAAAATGGAAGCCCATAAAAACAGATACTCTACAGAAAACAGAACCATCATCAATAAACAACCAAACAAGAGAAAAATATTAATTCCTTTGGAACCTGAATTTTCATTTAAAGAGTTTCAAAATAACGTCTTGCTCTCTCCCAGACACAAGCAATTTTCAAAATGTAAAACAGGTTTGGAAGGTGTCATTCACTTTCAGTGGCATTAGACACAGAGAGCAAGAAGCAGTGAGGTAAAAGCAGAATTGACACAGATCAGGAGCACTTAGAACTTGCTATCTAGAGAAACATCTGCTTTACTTCCGTCTCAGATTAATGAAACACCTCACTAATGTTGTGCATTTATGGAGAGCAAGAAGTTCTGTAGGCAGCATACATATTACATCGTGTGCACTACTCCTGTGCATTGCTTCTGAGCATCACCACCAAAGGCTTTTAAGACTCTGCAGCCATGGAATTAGCTGAGGTATTGCCAGCCAGCTGTGTATCCTCCATGGACTTTGGAACAAGCTATAAAAGTAAAAAGAAAAACATACTTTACCAGCTCTTTGCAAAACAGAGCCAGCACTTTAAAACCAAGTGGCTCCTTTTCCGCCTGGCAATTCTTGAGGTTGGCCTTACAGGTCACCTTTCAGGATTACGTCAGGGACCAACTGGTTGGGTTCAGGCAAGCTCAGGTTGGTCTGGCAGGCTCCACAAAGTGAACAAAAGCCAGACCAAGACAAAAAATTGAGGGAGTGGGATAGGAGGAAATTAAGGAGATTGTTCCAAAGGCTTTTAAATTATGATGCCCATGTTGTTGCAATGCTATTGGAAAACTAAATTAATTGCTCCTTTCCTTAGCACCCTCCTGCTGTGGCTGTATTTCTTTTAGCTAAGGGCCTGAGTCAGTAAAGATGCATCCAATTTCCATGCTATCCAAATGCTTGTAATCACAGATTTACAGTAAACTGAGCTTTCATGATAAACAAGGCTGTTCATTAGGTGGCTCTTGGCCTTCTAAGTTTTCAAGACAAAAGAAGTAGTGGGAGGTCAAAAATTTACCCTAGAGAGAGCTGATTTCCACAAAATTCTGATCACATATTTTCTTAAAAGCAGAGGACTTTAAAGAGTTTCTGTTCAGGAACTCAAAATCTGAGATACCTTGACTTTACAGTCAATCTACAGTCCCTACTGGAAAAAAAAGCAAACTATCTTCATTAGATTTTAGTTTACAGTTAGATTACTGGAAACCAAAGGTTTTCTAGGCACTGTAAAACCACATAATAAAAGCAGAGCCCATTTTCTGTAGAAACCAGGGGCTCTATCACAATACAAATTAAAAGGATGCAGCTAAATGGAAACAATTTTTTTTAGCACACCACAGTAAAAATCATTTAAATTTTGCACAATATTTGAGCTTCACCTGACACAGGTTGCCAAAATCTCATCGGTAGCATTCTAAGCAAATGCTACTTGTTATATATGAGATCTATCACATTTTCTTGAGTTGTTCTGTAGCCATTTAACACCCTGGGAGCACAGCGACAGCTATGTAAGCTAGCACGTTCCCTGTATAGAACTATCTTAGAAGAAATTGAAATTGTAGAGCATGAGAAGTTTTCAATTTCATGGTGGATTCCCCCTCCTTTTGTTTGCCCTTCTCCCCTTAAACCCACAATGTGTCTGTTTAAAGAGTGAGGGTTGATTTCTGGTTTGAGTTTTGTTTCTTCTTACTTTACTCATGTAACTCGCTACAGACTTCAGGATAGTAACCTCTTAGAAATTGCTAGTGGCCCACAGAGCTAGCATAAAATAAAAAGTTACAAGTCCACATAACCTTAATTTTATGGTTATAAGCTATATTTACTGCTATACCATAAGTTTGAAAAGACTGCTAAGTGTTCAGTGTGGGAATTCAGGGAATTTCTCTTAAGTTAGTTTTATGGAGAAACGTGTTGTTAAAATGTAGGAAAGGTTACAGTCCTTTCAAGTCCTCCAGAACTGAATGCTTATTAGGCATTTTTAGGGTATTTATAAAATACCCCAACCACTCCCTCAATATCATTCACTGAAATTCAAATTCAGGACCTTTGCTCTGTTCAAGTCCCTTTGGTTTTAACACTGTAAACTAACCTGAGTGAGAACGCTATCAAGAATCAAGGTGGGAGAATTTGCTTTTTAACTCCTGCCCACTTGCACTTCTTTAAGTTTGCAAGTGTTTCTCACTGCAGCACATAAATATAGTACAGCTCAGTGAGAGTACAACATCCTAAGCTGAGACTTTATCAAAAGGAAAGATGGGAGTGCTCTTAGTACTTTTGTCCTGATTTCACTCGATGAGCCCAGGCAGGATACAACCACCTGGGTGCTTAAGTTTATCCACCTGTAAAACTGTACTGACAGTACTGACTTCCAAACACACCGAATCCCCTTCTGACCTGCCAAAGCACCAGTGCGAAACAAGAGAACATACTGTTGTTCCACACACCTGTCAGCCTCTCCTCCCCTCAATCCCTCACTGTCCTCTGCCAAGGCATGTGCCCGCTCAGTTTGCTGTGTGGTGACACAGTAAGCTAAATGCTGCCTGCAGACAGAGGCCTAACAGGATGCCTGTGTTATGGAATCAGCCTGATCACATACATTAAATCCTCTGCCTCCAGAAAGTGGATTGGCACTGCTGTTATGGGACAGGACCAGCCATGATGTGGGGACAGCATCAGAAGACCTGCCTGCATGATAGGCACCCCCTGTCTGTCCCCTGAATGTGCTCCTGATGTGTAATGTGGGGGACTGCAGGGCTCGGGGCAGAGATGGCAGCAAAGACAGAAACCTGCATTGAAGGCTATGCACTGACCACAGGTACCCGGGTACCCCGTGGCTTCTTGGTTTGATACACAGCACACCCCAATCTTTTGAAAAATCCCCTCTCTTATATACACTTTTTGAAATTTTGCTTTTTATTCACATCTACTGTAAATATTGATGATGTTTCTCTCTTCTTATTGCTCACATCATTTTTAATTTTGCATTTCATTTTTATAGGAAAGATTTTATTATTTTTCACGGAAGTTCAAGAGGATATCACCCTGAAACAAGCCTTTGTGATTCAGCCTACAGCGTCATTTAAAACAGGGAAATAAAATGTGATAGAGACTCTGAAGAACAAATGCTTTCTGGCATTTTTCTCTTTCAGGCATCAGGGTTTTTTAGAGTGCAAGGAAAAATTCCTTTTATCTTCCAGCTACAGAGTTTTCTAGCAGCATCTTCTGGTTTTAAACGACTGATAGTCTACTCTCTCAGTGGAGGTCATGAAAATAAATTTTAGAGAAGCCAAACAACGCCTTGAAGTTCAGTTTACTTTCTGCCAGCTCCCTGAAAACAGTAATGTCACCCTGCAATGCCCTCTGCTGGGAGACAGGAGCAGGAAGGAGAGCTACCAGTTCCCGTCCTCCAGCAAGAAAACAGATACTTGCAATGAGATGGACTGGATGTTTACCTTCTATAAGAAATCCTGACCCTGCTGAAATCAATGGGGCTCTAGCTTTTAATTTTCACTTTGTGGTTAATTATTTCTCCTTTTGAAAACTGCACTATTATTCACTACAGTGGAAAAAACCCTGTTTATTTCAAGTCCAAATGAAAACCTTATTACTGACTTATAGACATGAAGATCTCTTTTTAGCATCTGAGCTTCTACAGACAGGTTTTATAAATAAGCTTTCAGCTGCAAAAGATATTGTTCATCTTGCTATTCTTCTAAGTCTTTTTAACTGTAAAAGACTTAAAACTGTAAAATCATACATGCAAATATCATTCATGTTACACAGGTGTGATTCTCCCTAACATATATTTTCACTGAATGGGATTCTCGTATTGAGAAGAGGAAGGCAGGCAAACGCTATGCAGCAAAACAAAGGAGTTTATCTAGAACCTGATGTGTGAGAACACCAACCCTACTAGCAGCCACTTCTATCTCCCTCTGAGATGCAGCATTTTGGGGCCTGAGGAAGAAAAATCTGAATCAGCCCTGCCAAGGAGAGGAATATTAGCATGGAGTTCGCAAACAGCAGTTTTCACCCCCACATGCATACTCGCGCCATGACCCTGTGTCTTATGGGCTAGTTATTCCCAGCACACAAGTTTTCTGGAGAATCATCCCTGAAAAATATTTTCCAGCCTTGGCAAGGGTGATGGAACACTGTTGCTGCTTTGGTTTCAGCTCCCTCAGCTAGGATGGTTTTACATGGTGTTTGTCTCTCACCACAGCTGTGCAACAGACAGCAAGTAGGAAGGATTTTTCCACAATAGCCCCCAGTCCTCCCTGCTGGACACTTTCTCCTTCCTACTCATGTTCTGACAGCCTACATCCTTCCTGGCAGGCCAATTATTTTATATTTACTACTAATTATTTTTTCTATCTTTTAAATGGAAACATTTTTACCTGGTGCTATTTCCTCTACCCTGATCTGCTTTATCACCGTGTGCCTTCTTCTGCCCAACTTTACAGGGACTGACACCCTCAGTGCCAGAGAATGTAGGTGCAGTAAAGCTGTGCAGCGCCTGGCAACACCATTTTTATTCTAAGTTACACATAATTATCATTGATTTGGAAGTGTGATCTCCTTGGTACACAGCCTTACAAGCTGACAGGTTTTTTCCAGAAACAACTTTCCAATGTTTGTTATGCCCTCATGGAGATGGAAATGTCACAGTTATAAGCAGCTTTGAGGACTATGCCAGGTTCATTAAAAGGCCCCCAGACAAGTACTTTTTTGCTTTGTATACTGTCCTGAAAACCTTCTGCTTCCCTTGGTAAGCACCACAATGTCACACTCATTTGAAAATGAGCAAGTATGTCTACAAACATTCAAAAGTATGTTTACTCCTTACAGCAAAGGCTCAGATTGTCCCTCTGGACACTTACCTACTCTTCCCAGGAATATATTCCTTTGCAATAGAACTGTGTAGCCCAGACAACAGGTGGTAGGTGCTCACATGCCATAACCTTGAAATTATTAATTTGAGGGAAGGCTGGAAGTAACTGAATGTTGCTCTGGTCCTCATGCCCCTCATGGATGAGGCCAGAAAAATGAAACTGAAAATCCGCCCTCTAAGCTGGCACCCTTGATGGAAGGATCGGCAGTGAAGTCCAAGACTAAATTAGCCTCCAGCTTAAACTGTCCTCTGATCTGATGCTATCTCTCAACATCACAGACTAGTGTTATATGAGGAATCTTGCACACACTGCTAGTTTTGATGCCAAGCAGTCTTTCAAGAAGTTGTCTCCTAATCTGGTATCTTTACACAGAATAATTTCATTCATAGAAATGCTTGCTAGTGATTAAAATTATGGCCAAGAATCTCCATTTGGCCTCAATTTGCTCATGTTGATGCATTGTACCACTACTAGGAAATAAGTGTGGTGTCACTCGAAATTATATTATACTGGAGTGTGAGCAGGAATGGGATTAGAGCAATATCATGTGACTGGGAGCAAGGAGTTGAACTGTTCTACATTTGCCGGAGACAGCAGAAAACCTTGGTGAGAGGCAGTCACTGTGTGACATCTTCTGGGGCAAGAGATGGGAAGGCAGAAAGTACTGCAACATGCTGTTGTCATGTCAAAAGAAGAGTGCCTCCCTGCAATCATTTCCCTTCTGCTTGGCAATGGGTAGCACTTGGAAATGAGAGCTTTGGTATTCCCTGGCTCTGCTGACCTCTATCATTGCCTGAGCTTTGGAGAGTTCATCATTCAGAGAAGAGGGCTGAGAAAAGCTCTGGTCAACCTCAATTAAGGTTCTCTTTGGTTCCCAGAGAAAACAGAAGCAGCAAATTAACATCTTACCCTAGGAAGTTTTTTTGTCCTCATCACTGCTGTGGCAAAATCCAGTTTTATCAGCACTGCTGAGAAAGTTTGCAGTAGCTTGAGGATGAGAGAACATGATGGCTTCCACCTAGGACAGCCTTTCAGCTTTCTGTCCTCTCTTCCTAAGGACATATTGAGATAGTACCTATTAAAAAAAAAAATATATCATTAGAAAAAAATAGTCTCTCTGCACTTTTCCAGCCCTCAGCAATCAGTGACCTTTACATTTGCACCAATATAAGCCCCAAGCAGTCAGTGGGAGACAGGATCTGCACAAGCCAATTCAATCATTTCCTAAGAGAGGACAAAATTCAGGGCAGAACATTAACTCCTTTCTCCTGGCCACAGCTTAGCTGAAGGCCCAGTATGTCAGATTCACCTCAGTATGATTCCAGGGACTAGTCTGGAATCAATTTGACCCAGTAAGTCTCTTTGATTGCATCAGACCTTTCAGAAGTTTTGAACAACAAGGACCTAAACAGCAGGCAGCAATCTGCACAAACCCAATCTTTTCAGTTTAAGGATTTTTAAAGATCTGTGCTCTTTTTTTTCTTCTTCTTCTTTTTGGTTTCAAGTGCTTTCCAACTGAGCAAATGCTGCAACTAGTTCATGGGACAAGGCCTTGAGGCACCCCTGACTTTGGCATTGTTATGCCATAGACACTCCATACATTTTTGGCACCTTGCAACAGACACACTGACAGCCACAGGATTGATGGAAAGGGAAAAAAGCTGCTTTGCAGTCAAAAGAGAATGTACTCAGATTTCTAAGGCCATTTGAAAGAATGCCAGAATGATACTGGATTTCGGCATTCTTAAGCTTCTTTAAGATGATGAAGCAACTGGTCTTTTCCACATGTGATGATGTATTTCAGGACATGAGTTTCTTCAAGATTTTCCAAGCCTGTGGGCTCCTGATCCTTTTTCAAATTAAAGAGATGATAGCATACCAGGGAGAATTGTGATTAGTTTAAACTCTCCACAGCTGCAAGAGATGAATGTAAAAATTCCACCCAAAAATCCACTTCTTCTGGATTGAATTTACCTACACGACACAGAGTCCTGATCAAGGGACCACTTAAAAGAGCTGGAGCAGCATCAACACTATTTAGTTTCTTCCATCACATCAGCTCAGGGAAGGCTCACAACTGTTCAGCCCAGCACATCTCCCCCAGCAGCACTGCCACGATACGGGCTGGGGTATTAACAGAGACCTGAGATATGTGGGGAGGAAAATGGAACGATGAAATAAAAGCTTAAGTACGAGGGAATTCAGAGAGGGCTCACAACTCATTACTTGAAATACCAGAGGAATTGTGAAACACCTTGTAACCGAGAGGCTTTGCTTGGAGTTCTCAAGGACTGCAGACTCCACTTCATCACAGGCTGACAAATTTTGAGCCATCTTTGCAATGGGGGGGTGCAATCACTGAACTCTCTGTCTCAGCTGACCTGAGGAGATGGCAATGTTCTGTTTAGCTTCACAAGACCTCTCTCTCTAAACCACTTCCTTGGGTTTCAAATTAAATATAATAATATACAACATTCACTGACATCGTGGGCCGTGTGCCCACCTCGGGAGATCTGACCTCCGGTGTGTCTCCGACCAGGGAGGAGGCCAGAGCTCGCCTTGAAGACCAGTGACTGACATCTATGCATTTATTAACACAGTGGTAGGCGAGAACCAGCTATATGGGACTTTCCTCAAAAATGCCTGCCCCGACTTCCCAGGGAGTTATGGGGGGTGTCAGCGGGGCAACGTACCTGCTTTTAAGGGGTCTAGGGCCGCTCTCTCCACAAGTATTTCTAATCTACGGGGGGGGGGGGGGGGGGGGGAACCAGGCTTCTCCCGCGGCACTTAGCAAAGCGTAACCGTTGCGTTGTGCTGTAAACAGACCAATACGCAGCGCAGTGAACTGTATGACAGATGCGTTAAGCATAAACTCCATTCTATGCCTTTCACCGCGCCCCGTGCAGAGACGTGCCCTAAATACCAACCCATGGGCCTCCTCAGGGGAGTATTCATAGAAGGGTGGGGAAGCAACTTCCAGCATGCGTAGTCGTGGCCGAGTGGTTAAGGCGATGGACTAGAAATCCATTGGGGTCTCCCCGCGCAGGTTCGAATCCTGCCGACTACGGCCGCAGTCTAGTGGCTTAAAAGTTTTTTTTCTTCCCATTGTTCACTGCCAAATCGCGGGAGTGACTGGGCGGGAGCCCCACCACGGCCGAGCT